AACGGCTGATCCGGCAACAGAGCCTAGTCTGCTTCTCCCGCGGTCGAAATATAAATGCAGCGAGATGCCTGAGCTCGTTCCAAAGTTAAAAGCGGGTGATATTTATTCCGCTTTTATTCTTTTTTCTTCCCGGAGATCCTGCAGGATTCCCGTAGGACCGGCTGCTGCTATTTATGACGGCATAAACAGACGATAAACAATTGCGAAGGCCTCAGATTCCACCTGAGATCTCGCTGCTGCTGCTGCAGAACCAGCTACACCGACACAGACAGACTGTTGTTTCTTTTGTGCGCTGCACAGACGCGGATAGCTTAGTTTTTCCTCATAAGTTAAAAAAGCCCAAAGGAACCGTTTAAGCCGCTCTGGCCGATTGTCTGGACAAATCCCCTAGAGTTCCGGAAAGCGGACAAGACTGGATTCAAAAGACCTTATAATCTACATTATGAGTTATATGCTCCAATAAAAATACTATAACTTCTGACTCTTACTTGTCATCTATGCTATTTTTTGATCTTGTATGACACTTTAAAAATTAAATATATGGTATTTTTCACAGTTTTCTGGCAATAAATTCGTAAATTAAATGCTTTGCGAAATGATTTGTAATCTATGAAAAACGTTTATGCGTTTTCGTATTTGAATTACCAAAATCTTTAAATAGAAGACGACACTGCTAAATGTTGAACCTTTAACCCATTATTGCATGTTTTTTTGTTTTTCATAAGAAAAATTTACGAATAAGGAAATTCTCCCAGAATTACTAAAACAACATCGAAAAGATTCATTCTGGGCTAATTTGCTCAAAATTCGATCTTTTTGGTATGCCATAGATATATGACAAAATATGCAACAAAATATTTTATAATAAACAAATTCAATTATAGTGATAGATACTTATCTATAATAACATTATTCGGTGAGAAACCTGTAAAAACAATTTGCTTGAGCACAGAAAAACACTAAATATTTCGCATTTTATGTAACTTTTTGCACCACAGAGATATTTCCATACTGGAAGATGGCCATATATATATCTGCTCGAACATCTTGTGGTGGAACATCAGTCGCTGCTTATCTTATCCTGTGAATTTTCCATAACTAATTGGGCGGCCTCTTTCTCTAGCAAAACTGAATTTATTCACTTTACGCAAGCATTCTGCTACTGCTATTTAAAATCTAATGTAGCTAAATTACTAAATGCATTGTCCCTTTTTCTCCATAGTATCAATGCATTGACAGTCATCACATCAATAAAATGGAAAAATATACGCATGCAGCATTTTTTCGATCTGATTTTTATTCCATATTATCCCAGCATGGAATCCAGTAGGTCTACACCTCCCATATACTTGAGTACCAGCAAATATTTCATAGTCATATGAAAATCCGCTGACACCACTTAGTACAAACGCTTTATATTCCCATTTATGAGGCTTCTGTGGATTAGAAGGAATTTGAAATACGTGTAAGGGTAGTCTACTTTTTTTATTCAGGAGGCACGTTTGTAGAAAGTAAAAATTTTGGCTCATCGTCCGAGGATACTAAATTTCCTTGTTTCCAGATAGGATGGTTATGGTTTTTATTCTTTATTCTTTTTTATTTTCTTTAGTCTGCGTCGCAATTCGTCCAAGAGAGTATTCTGCTATCTGAACTGCCTCCTAAGTCAGTTTCTGAGATGATAATGTCTGGAGCATTATCATCTACAGCAACAATTTCAATGCCAGATCCGGGGCTAACATCATGGTTGGATTATCATTATCTAAAAATCGTCCATCTTCACTATAACCATAAAACTGTTTTGATTCCATTATCTTGAAATGAATCAAACTCAAAATAATAAGGTTCAGAATGCATGTTGGGCCATATGTGACCAAAACTGTGTCGCGCGAAAGTGCATGCTGTCCCATATAGGGCATATACGCATTTTTTATCAGAAATCAGTAAGATAGAAAGAACTACTTGACTCTATTCACAGAAATTGTTCATAGACATTGTAGATTTGATGTGGCTGTTTTTTATAAACCAAAATGTACGATAAAAGCCTCGATTATCAAAGATCCAAATCCACAACCCAACGCAACAGCTGTTAACATGACCGCCATTTGCAAAGTTTCATAAAACTTCACAATACCGCATTGAGGTGGCGCTACAGACATGGGCACTGAGTACAAAAATGAACTTTTCTCCAGCTTTGTAAAACTGCTGAAAACAGAACACAAGATATCTACACCATATCATAGTCAGACTATAGGATGATGTGAGTCCTGAATGGGTACATACGCATGCATGTGGAAGATGTACATATCATAATTACGCTCCGTTTGAACTAGTTTTCAGAAAAAGGGAATGTCTTCCACAAAATAATGTTCTGCGGATCTCAAGTAGACCCTATATAATAATATAGACGCTTTTGACCAGGAAGTGACATTTCGGCTGCAGCTTGCTCACCAAAAAGCGAGAGCATTCATTGAAAAGGCTAAAAGGCAATACGACACCCCCTCCTATAATTTATTCATAAAGCCAAGAGACCTAGTTTTGACGACAAACGATGCTCGAAACAAGGTAGATCCTTGGTTTGATGGTCCATTCAAGGTTCTTAATGTAGAAGATCCCAACTGTACCACAGATAATAAGGGTGAACAGATAACAATACACAAGAATTGTTTGAGGAAATATGCACCCGCTAGATTTTGATGTATTATTCTTAATGATATGAAATAATCATTTGTCGTATTTATTTAATAATTTTTAGACAGCCTAATTAGAGTGTTTCTATTATATTTAGTTAGTTATCACTATTCCTAGAAGTAGTTTTCCATTTAAACCACAATGTAGGTATGTTGTATTCAAATGTATTTGTTGGCGATCTTACTTGATTTCATTTAATTTGCTCAAACGAATGCCCTTTACAAGTGGCAATAGTAGAGGTCATTCTCACGGAAAGGAAAGGTGTAAAGCCGCGAAATACTTTCATTATAATTGTAATTCATAACACCCGGCTCGTCTAGGAAATGCATCAGCAAAAGTGCAACGTACTTGATATCGTTGAAATCATGTATTCGATTAATTGAAAACAGCTAGGCTAAATTATCGAATGTTCGACGAGGATTATCAATTTATATTCAGACCTATCAATATCGTTTGATTTTACACCAGGTATGCCGAATTTGTGCCATATGTGATCATTTATGGTTGAAGATGATTCGTTTTGTAATGGAAATATTTAAAAAAAAATAGTTGTGACAGACATGACCCACAACGCTGAAATCTACTATTTAAGTTAACCGTTAAAGATCTACGGTAAGATGACAGCAGAGGATCTAAATAAATTTTCATCGAATTGAAGACATCCAAATTCTTAACAGGTCTGATAGTTTTATAAGCATGTTTCTCCCTAAATCTGCGACAGTCCTTGTTTCGGGCTTCCTGTACCTGTTAGCATAATATGCCAATTGGTTTGAGGCTCAAGAAAATCGCATATGCCGTGTGTATCAAAATTAGAAGCTGAGATGGGAAGCCATGAGTTATATCAGCCGTTCCTGCTGATATGATAGGAATACTGCCGACGATGCTACTAATTTCCTAGAAGACCTAGAGTTTACTTTATTGTTCTCAACACATTTTACAGTCAGTCAGATTTAAGCCTTTGTACTGTTTACATCATAATAACATTGTAATAATTTTGTAAAAGTACAGTTTTGAGTTTTGTATTTTCGAAAAATAAACTTTTTAAAAAGCGATCTCGAAGCATCGATCTTATAACTCATGAGTAACTTTCACATAAATTTTAGCGGTTTTTGTTGCGGTCGAGCGCGGAATGCACGCATATAATATAAGTTTTCTCGGAAAAAGCAAAAAATCGCTTAAAATGTATTTTCTATCCGCTAGAGGAATGGTCTGAGAACATGATTTGAATGACGAGACGTTTTGGCTATGCCGGTTTATTTCAAATTACTTTGGATATTGCACTTTGTTCTCAAACTTGCATTGATTCAAAAAAGGCTGTACATAACAACTGATACGCGGAGATCAAAAGTGGTCGCTTTCTATTCAATAATCAAGATTCCATTTCATAAGTACTAATTTAGTTTCAGATTGGCTGTACTAGCCTCTTAGATTTAAAGGCGTAAACTAAGCGATTAAATTTCTGAACACCTCATGGCTCTCGCAGTATCTGTTTTTTAGAGGTTGTACAACTGAAAGCATATAAGCAAAAATAAAATGCATTTTTCGATACCGCAAAGTATACCTAATAATGGGTATGAATTAATTACCCGCCAAACATGTTTTTAGTCTTTTGAGTATTGGCGAGGTATTCCGGGCTTCGGCTTCACTGTGCGGCAGACTGGCAGACCTCTAAAGGAGAACCAGAATGTTTGCATGCTCCCTTTTCCCTGTATCACCCTATAGCTCCAAGGTATTTACCGGAATTCAGGCCTTAGTCCTGCGTATTGGCTCAGGCTGAAGTCTTATCGCATTACGACAGTAAAAAAATCAGAAGTTTCAAAGTCCACTTGAGGTATCGTAACAACACATACATTAATGGAAAGATGCTTCAAAGTGATATCCAGTTCGGATCGTTTCAGTGAGGCTTGCTAGAGTTATTTCGGAAAAAATGTGAAGGCTCCAGAGTCTTCTTGACATTCAGTAGCACCTACAGTGGCAGATAGTCTGTTGTTTTTTTTTTCGTGCAATACACGGACACAGATCTCAGCTTATGTTTCAGAACTTAGAGGGTCCAAAAAGGCAAATATATGTTACATAGCTAAAAACATCCAGCACAGGATATGCTTCGAAATAAATATTACTTTCAATTTTAACGGAGTAAACATGGTGCTACAATTACATTCATCGTTCTTCCTTATATTAGCTTGGCCTATACGTATGTAATGGAATATTTGAGCATAATTTTCACCGATTTCCAGAAGTTTGATAAATCTGAAACTTCGCACACGTATCAAGGACCAATAACAATGTAATAGCGAATAGCGAAAGAACAAACCTCTGTAGCTCAGTGGCAGGGCGCTGGTCTTGTAAACCAGAGGTCGTGATTTCAATCCTCACATTAGGCAGATTGTGGTATACATTTTTTTGGCACGCTTAATTTGAAACTTCGCACACGTATCAAGGACCGATGACGACACAATAATTTGATAACAGTTTTCCATTATGACCGCCAGGATTGATAAATTCTTTTATAGATCCTCTGTAGAGGAGTAAAAGAGATAGAGATAGCGCGCGATCTGCGCATGTGCGCAGTTTCGGACTTACTCTTTGTTGGTTCGTACTCTCGGCACAGCACACCGGAGGTAGTGCATTCTCACCTTGTTCATTGCGAATGTTGCCATTAATCATGAGTTGGGCTTCGACCGTCTACATGATGTCTACAGTCGATCATGCAGTCATTTATCTAGGCTCGCGACTGTTTGCCGCTGGACAAGCTTATGTAGCACTTAGGGTGGATTTCACAATTTAACAAACCATTATTCTGCACCAATGGGGTACGAGTGCCAAACAGTCCGTTAACTATACCCAATCAGTCTCAAGATCTCTCCGTCAAATTTTTGGCAGCAAATAGCATCAAGGTATTCAAAACAAAACACTGTAAAACATGAAGTGTCAGCTTGCCATTGAAATCTTTTCAGTTTATTAAATATTATGAAATTATGTAAAACTGACCCAAAATTTTTAAAAATGCTTGATATTTGAGTAAAATCTATTTTTTCAGATTAGCTGAAGGTTTTTCCATGTTTATTGCAACTTTTGTAATCCATATGTGATTGTATCACCTACTGTGTGCTTATAGTTTATCCTACATTTGCAAACTTGCACTTCCAAATCCTTACATGAAAAAGCCTTTTCACTCAAATTTTTGTTAGGTGTTACATTTCAACACATTCATACACTTCTTTCCAGTTCCTCAACTTTAACCTCACTGATCCGAAACTGTTCAACAGTTTCAACATTCATACATACAATTGCAGTTTTTTGTTTTAATTTCAGTGTATAATCAGTCGCACCATCGGTGACGGTACATGGTACATTCAACATAACCACGATTTAGGGGTTAGTGCAGATTTAACCTGTACACAACAGTGTAATATGTATTTCTTCACAAAAAAAATCTTGGAGGGAGCACTTTTAAACGGAAATTTGTTGTTAAAAAATTCCATTGTCCACACATAACAAAACAAGTGATCACAAAACATAGAATACAGTGACGTTGGAGAAGGAGAATAGACCAAAGGACATCGGAATTGACATTTGAAATTAGTGTCTCATAATGTTAGTGATGGGAGAATACATTTGCGATCAGTGGAATGTATTGGAACGGTTAAAAAATATGAATTGAATCGTTTTTACGTTATCTCGACTGAAAGACTGGAATATCTGCTCTGTTTCTGTATACTTATATATTTTTTGTGGTATTGTTGCATAAAGTAGTTGGTTCACGAACTAGTTCCTAGAACTGAATGCAACTTAATGAAACGAACTGGAAAGCACATCACTATTTCAAGTCATCCAAGAAGGGACAAATTGTCATTTCATCATACTAGTGATGGGAGAATCGAAAGCCTAAGATTCGCTTTGCTTCTGTGGCTCAGAGATATAGTGTTTTCTTCTGGTAAAACTAGCGCAGTTTTTGTGTTTAAAATACTCTACCTTAGTTAATACCTTTGATCCTAAAGTTGCTCCCAAAACAATATTAAACAACTCTCATGTCGTGTCGCGTTCAGTAATCTGTCCTTTTCCTTGTTACTATGATGAATCATGGAAAAAAATAATAGTAAACCACGAGCAAACAGCACGGCTGCATTCAAAGATGGAAATCGGAGCAGGAGACAGTAGACAATACCAGCCCGAGTTGCTTCAAGTTCTGTATGTTTCTACAATGAATGAAAAACTAGTTCAAAATGCGCACCAAAAAAACATGAATGTATAAATTGGTTCTGTTATAAGAATTTGGAATATGTACCAGTCCAGCAAGGGCTTCACTGAAAAAAAAACGCGATTGAATAGCTTGGTAATGTTTAACAGTTTAGACCACACAAGGCTGATTTCAGTAGCTTTTATTTTGGCCACTTTCTCAGTTATAATCACATCTCACTCCAAGTTGCCTCACATGTCAGAGATTTTCCAATTTCCTGCAAAAAAAACTACAAATTTGCCATATTTTTCTTTTTTCACGAGTACACATTCTAGGTTATATTTATATTAGACATTATTTGAATACAGCTGATTATTGCATTTCAAGGAGTGACACATGTGTGGGATCTGTCAACTCTTGGTACCAGTTACAAAACATATTATACTCTGAAGGTTTAATTCCATGATATTCAATGACAACACGTGACTTGTGTGGTTATCAGCGACCATTTTGTGAGGGCGCGACAGGTTTGCCAGATTGTGCATTAATACCCCGTTTCACGCTCCTGGTCCCAGTGGAGTAAGTTCCGCCAACTGTTGAAATATACTCTACTATGCTTTATAAGACTAGTCGTGACGTTTTTCCCAAAATCATTGCACAACACTTGAAAAAATGCTAATGAAAATTTAAAATTATTTCCATGACGCCACAAAATAGCTCCGTCGGTACCTTGGGTTATACATCTTGACAGTATTGATGTTCGATAGGATTCTATATTTAGAAGTATCAATACATTTCACGAGTATCGTCATCTTTCGATCCGGACTGTGTCAGAAAGAGTGACTGCCATTTGGCTGCGACATTACCCTGCCAAATCAGACATATCTTTCATCATTTTCAAAGAAAAAGTTAGCGACTTTCACTTCATACGTTCTTACCAGACATGCCCAAATCATCAGTTGCTGCTGTGATATTCATCCCGACCACTGCATCCCCACGGCTAGGCGACCAGTATTGATAGGGCAGCGGGTTATGCTATAAATCATATGTCACAGTGTTTGTGCACTGATTGCAACGTTTAGATGATACCAAAAATATTTTCATAAATAGGAGATCTTTCCCATTCCGGATCGAACAATCTACCAAAGATGCTTATAATCATGATACCTAGTAAATTTTCACGAAAAAAATTCAAAACCAGCAAATGTAAAAGATTCATTTCGCACCCTCCACCACGGGACGTGATCGTCGTTAGACTTGGCAACCCTACGAGTGTCAGATAGATATCCCCGCCAGTCAAAAAAAAAAATAGACAAACAGTAAACATTACTAGTTTTTTTGATTTTTGAACTTAAAAGCTATTATCTGTGAAACATTTTTCATAATTTTTTGTCTATGTCCATAGTAATTGCATTATGCATCAGGGAGATGTAGGGATTGACACGTCTTACACATGTTATCTGTGTTTTAGGATGAACAGGACATAATGCTTTTATTGCTTTGAAGAAATTCATGATCCCATAAATTAATAAATGATTACTATTATGACGTAAAGGAAGATGAGGAATTGGATGGAATGTATTTCATATTCTATTTTCTTGCAAAATAAAGACAAATCCACACTATTCAACAGGTATGTAATGATAACTTTCAGTATATTGAAGTTGGTAAATTCGAGAGTGTCATGCATTAACAAACGTCCAAATCTGCTGCCAAATTTAGCAGCTAGAAAATCGACCTATTATTTGCCGGATTCCCATTCGCTGAGGTGGATAACGGATTGTTAAATGTAAACCTATAACATATATCAAAATACATAAAAGTTGTCCTGTTTTTTCTGTACAAAAGCATCATGTTGGAATCAAAAAGTGGTCATGTCTATAATACAGTCGAATTTTCACGATTTTATTCAATATTCAATAGAAATCACTAATATTCAGAGACCTTTAATAGCTTTCGTCAAATTGCATTTCGATAAGGTATTTTCCCATTGGTCCATAATATTAATGTTGGTGAAATTGGCCCTAAGTCGTGTAATATCTTTAGACGGTATTCGGATTGAAGAACATAATTGCTCTAAGTTAACAGGAAAACCCCATGCAACAGTGAAACTTTAAATAAAAGGATACGGTTACGAAATGATGCGTAAGACATTTCAATACCTCATGTCCAAAAAAAGCTAATTGATAAATCGAATTAAAAAATGATAAATAAATAATACTTTAAAAAACTAAAAAAAAAACACGCTTTTATACCTAACCGAACTAAAAAGCAGAAAATAATTTTCAACTACATGAGTTTATATTATAGTAGGAGATGGTCGAACAATCAATCATGATTAATGACCTCAAAATAAAATTACAATAAAATTTAAGTTATCAACAGAGTATTTCAATTCAGAGTAAAAAACGTGGGGTGCATTTTACTACATTTTCATACTCTCCTCTCATGGATAGTTGCCAATAGAATGATTGTATCATTTAATATATCAAGCACCCCACGATTTTTACTCTGAATTGAATTATTCTGTTAATAACTCAAATTTTATTATAATTTACTACTATACTACTGTAATATAAAATCTTGTAATTAACAATTTTTTTTTACTTTTTACTTCCGTTAGCTATAAAAGCGTATTTTTTTTTGTTTTTTAAACTATTATTTGTTAATTCTTTGTATTAGCGATTCATCAAATCACAAATGTGATAGCTACCGCTATCGCACCAATTTAACAGTGCGGCATTGTGAACACATACTTATTATGTGTGGTCATCTTGCTTAAAGTATGCGTAAACAGCATTGTAATGGCGTCGTGATACTGTTAAGTGATGGGTACTCTGAAAGCAGAATGAAATAGTTATTTATTTGAAGGGTACTAAGTGCTGTTATGGTCTGGGGTAAGGAATATCGAATGCCTCCCTGACAAACCTATAAAATTGCAGAAGTAAGTCTAGCGTAATAGGAGAGAGACAGGCAATGGATAATGTCCCATGATTCCCATTATTGAAGTATTACTCAGGTTCACTCAATTGTGGGATGTTTGTATGCAAAACTCTGAAGCCTTAAATATTCGAATGAATGTATCAGAAATCAGTGCATAGTTGAGTGAACTGCGGCGATGAAATCGTACGCAAATGCCGCAATCGCATTCGAGAAACATCCGCTCGCTCCATCCAAACACATGGTCAAACATAAAGCAACAAA